CCGCCCACCACGAACCAGACCGCAGGGACAGGCTACCAGCCAGGAAGCAATGACCACAGACAGGCTGAGGAACAAAGCATCCATCTCCTACCTCATCGAAGACTTTATTGAGAAATTTCATTGCACAATTAGCTATTGGATAGGAGGGAGGATATTCAAGGACCGGCAGGCTCAGGCTACGGCAGTGTAAAGACCCTCTCCTTGTCCGTTCCTTGGGGGAGCTGAGCAAGCAGGTCTCCTTGCGCTCAGGAAAGGCAGCGGTGGTATCAGGCACTCTACGGGGACTAAGGAGAAGGGGTGGTTGGGGCGGCTGTGGGAGCAGGCAGCACATCACCATTTGCTGACACTGCAGACAGCTTCTCTGTGAGAGTCTACAGCTACTGCAGTGTTTTGGAGGGTCACTTGAGCTCCTGGGACCAGGCCCTGGGCAGCTGGCTCCTCAGTTCTTCTTCTTCAGCATCTCCATGTACATGCGAAGTGACTTCTGGATGGAGTCTTTCGAGATGAAGCTGACAAAGTTCTGAATGTCTTCCTCCCGGTGAGCTACCAGGCGGTCCAACACTGCCTTCCTCATCATGGACTTGGTGAGCTGACGGGCATGGTCTGCGGAGAGGAGAGCGAGGATGAGGAACGCACACGGTCCTCGCCCCTGACCAGCTGTCAGCCACTGCCACCATGTGCAGGTGTCTCCAAATGGGGAGGTACCACACACCAAAGGGCTCTTTGAACCAGCAGGGAAAGGTGTATGAAAAACCCACCGGCTGGAAGCTGAACTAGATAAATTCTCATACAATAAACTATGATCAGTGGGGAAACGGCTGATCTACTGGGACAGATGACAAAAAGTTGTGCGCCTCTTTCTCTTTGCACCTTCCAGAGCCCAGCCCGCACCCCGATACACACCACCGGGCTCAGGACAGCAGTAACTGAACAAAATTCTCCGCTATTTGAAACTGCTCTGGCTCTAAGCTCCCCCAACCCAACCCGTTCGACCTCTGGCAAGGCAGCCTGCCCACACCAAACACACCGTACAAAGCCAGCAGCATGGCTCCCTCGAGCTCAGCCCGACAGCAGGCGCTGGGCCTGCGTCATTCCCCACGACTCCGTGGATGCTGCCGGAGCTGCCCGAGGCCTCGAGCACTCGTCTGCTCACACACACATGGAGCCACATGCAGGGATGTGGCAGCACATCTGTTGCACAGATGTTGCACTTGCGCTCTCGGTGGGTTTCAACCATGAGGGCGAAACGATGACCAACGCCCCCTCCTCCATGCACTGGGAACCCCAAATTGCTCCAACACCCGTATGCTGCAGGCACCTTCACCCCGACAGACTCCTCCCAGCTCTGATTCAGGGCTCCGGGGAAGGATCTGCATGGTGCCTCCTGGAAGTCAGGAGAGAGCACAGCTGAGACGTGCTTCCCACTTTTGGGGGCTGAGGTGTCATTGACACCAGGACAGCAGGGGAGAGCGAACTGTTTAGGGACCCTTTTCCAAAGTAGGGACACAAAGTGACCAGTCCTGGGATGCATCCATTTCTGTGCCGTTTCATTCAGATTTCTACAGAAATCGCAGCCGGAGGGTGATACGTAGTTGCACCTCCCTGGGGTGCTCAGGAGGTGGCATGGGATGGGATAGCTCACATCTAGCCCTGGCCGGTGGAAAGCCCTCTCCCAGCCCAGGAACCATGTGCTACCAGTGACGGAGCACTGCAAACACACATGATGCCTGCACTTGCTGTCTGTCCTTATGTCCCCATCGCCATCCCCAGCTCAGCAGAGTGACAAGAATTGATCCAGCCCACAAAGGCTGACTGGCAGCCACCCAGGCACTCTCACCCAGCCTGTTCCTTCAACTCCACAGGGTAACACCTCCACTGACAGACACAGAGATGCAGTTTGTATCTGCAGATCAGGCACCTCCAGATTGACTCAGCAGGGTTGGCAGGGTGAGCCGAGCTGGAGCCATGTGCCCTGCACACCCGGCACGGTGTCCTCCCACGCAGGGGCACTGGCAAGCCCAGCTCTGTTAGCCCAAGGCTCCCTGAATTGCTGCGCTGAACTTTTCCTACCTCCCAGCCATCCACACCTTCCCTTTAAATGGAAACCTTTCCGTAGCTCTCAGGTACCAGCCCCGGTACCTGTCCTTCCCACCCAGACCAGATCTCCTTTTCCTCCACCGGAGGTGCCACCCTTACCGGGAATGGCCAACCACTGTGCCATAACAGCCGCAGCCTTCTCCTGGAGCTTCTCCTCTGGCACCAACTCGTCCACAAGGCCATACTTGTGGGCCTCGGGTGCGGGGTGGAGGGAGCCCAGCTGGAGGGAGCGTTCAGCAACTCGGTGTCCCACCGTGTTTACAAATGTGTCCTTAAACCTAGAAGAGATGGGAGGAAAAACCACGGGTCAGGGAAAGAAACACCCAGCGGCAGCTGCACCCAGACATCGAAGCTAAGAGCACGCTTGGTCCCACTGCCCAGGCACGGGTCTCTAAACAGCAGCTACGGGCTCAGCCATGCCGTGCAAAGTCAGGCAAGCAGAGCCGTTTTCGGTACCGACCCAAGAGAGTTCCCCCTCCTCTCCACAAGAGCTGCTCTGTGTACCCTCTGTGCACAGGTCTCTGCTGTGCCCACTTGCTGTGACGTGAAAGCTCCTCTCCAAGACTACATTTACATGTTCTTAGGGCAACCAAGGGTCTGTGTCTTAGTATCTCAGTGTCCTTACGCTTTCAGAGAGCTCCACAGCTATGGGATTTTGCAGGTACACAGCGTGTATCCAGAGAAAAGCCTATTCCCCACCTGAGCCTGACCAGGGAGATCTCCCAGCACCAGTTTTGGAGTTGACTGCAGAGTCACAACCAAGGGCCTCGTCGGTGAAGGATGCGAGGATGTTCTGCAGCCTGAAAGCTTTTCAGATACTTGCAGAATACGACAGAGGAATGAGGCGCTATCTCCTGCAGCTGCAACTACCTTGTCACTGACACATAAAACTACATCCCAGCCACCAGTTAAACTGGTCGATAAACTCCTTGAAGATGAATTCTTTCTAGAGACCTACACATGACACTAGAAGTGGGAGGCACTGTCCTACCAGTAAGGAGCCACAATGCCCAGCTGGGCTTCGTTCAGGCCAATGTTGAATTTGGGGTTCTCCACCATGATCCTGTAGTCACACGACAAGGCGAGGAGACAGCCTCCTGCCGGGCTGGACCCCTGGCAAAGAGAAGGAAGGAGTGAGTCTAGGTCACGGTTACAAACATCCCTGTGCTCCCAGCCTCGCTCCGACCTCCAGAGCAGGGAAAACACAAGGTGACAGAGCAGATGTTCCCCAAGTCTCTGATTACCTAATTCAAAACAGCCCTAAAGAAGATTTCTGATAGGTTTACCAGGGTTTATCCTTTCATTTTTCAATGCTCTTTGTTTCTTGCATTTTCCAGCCTAGAAATCTCGTTAATTCATCTGTGTTACTCAGGTTGCAAGCCTGCAGTGGAGATTTGCTATGGCATTTTCTTGAAACCCTACAGGAGTTTGAGTTTGTAGCCCTAAATGCCACACAAACGGTTCTGTCCAGGGACTTTGTCACACTTTCTGTCTATAAAACTTCCATTTGTGATCATCTTTGCCACAACTCGGTGCTTGCTTAGCCCTGCACAGGATGCCTGCGGGAAGCTGCTCAGAGACCCAGCTGCCTTCAAAACCAGTCTACAGACCGACACAGAACTGTGAGCTGCCAAAGTGGCACTGCACTGAAAAACAAAAACAAGACACTGAGCAGGTAACAACCCATCTACGGACACTGAGATTCCGACGGCACTTTCCTGCTGGCCAAGAACCGCGGCTGGAGGAGCAAAACCTGGTGAAAAAAGGGCTTACGACAAACTGCACCGCCCAAAGCACCGCTGCCCACAGGGCTGAGGACAAACACTGCATGGCTGCCTCCCACCTCCTCCCCGCTAGCGAAGCAGAACAACGGCCGAGCAAGGGACCCTGCGCAACTCCTCCGAGTCTCGTCAGCGAGAAAGCAGGCGGTGGGCACGTGACAGGCGTCCTTCGGACTCCTACACCAACCGCTCGGCTTCTCCACTACTCGTCTGCCATCGATGCCCCTCTGGGCTTTACCACTGGCCTCCAGCCCTCCTCCTGGTCCTCCAGCCTGGAGGACAGACTCCCAGCCGAGGTCTCGGGGCAGGGCATGGCTCTTGCTGTACAAAACCCTGCCAAGGGCACGGCAGCCCCCATCAGCAGGACATCAGTGCTGTGCAAGGTCTCCGCTGCAGCCAAAACGCTGCTCTACCCTAGCAGCGCCTACAGCTCATATGGAGCCTGCAACATCCCATGCTTCCATACCTTCCCACACCCCAACCTGCTGAACTGACAGACACGTACTTTGCCCAGAAATTCCAACCAATACATCCCTGTATTTTTTTCATCACTGACAAACCTGATTTTTTGGCTGTCCCTGCCCACATGGTGCAAACAAGCCACAGCAAGTGACAGACCACGCAGGGATCTAAAGGACGTACATTGATTGCAGCTACTGTCACCATGTTGGAGCCGTACAACCGGAGCCACGTCTCCTGCACGGCTCTCCAGAACTCAGTGTAGTGCTCCGTGCTCTTCCCGCACATCTCGGTGATGTCCAGGCCAGATGAGAAGATTTTGGGGATGGCCTGCAATGGGGAAAATACAAACATCGCTTAGAGTCACTGCTCAGGGATGACCCTTTAGCCCTCTAATGCACTAGGCCTGGCAGCCTGAGGAAAGGCAAAGCGATAATTAAATATAACATAAACCAGAGTCTTTTGGGGTTCTGAAACAATCTCCCTGCTGGTCCCACAGCCTGGATCATCCCATCACCATGGCCTCTTTGCTTGCAGCACGGTTTCTCATTATCAGGGTCTCCGCGTGGGTACATCAGCCATGCAGCACAAAACCCGTCCTGTCCCATGCCCGGGCACCTCCTCGTACCCACACCACGTCTGAAAATAAACACTGGCATCTCCTAGCAGCTCCCTATGGGCGGTTCAAGAGACCTCAAGGGATGTGTCAGGTTGGCAGATAAGCAGCTTAAATTTTAATGACAAATGACAATGCTCGGTTGTTATTCTTCTGCTAGAAAAGCGCACAGAAGAAAGAACACAGCCCTTCCAAGAACCCCCTCCCCTCCTTCTGGAGCTGATCAGAGCTGCCTCCCGGCGCTCCTCTGCCAGTGGCCAGGGAGCCAAGACACCAAACATGAGCAAGGCAATGGCACCCATGCCTGCCAAATTGCCCCACAGCTGGCACCTCAAATTCAGGACAACACGTACGGATGCAAAGATCACGCCCCGGCAGGCCCGATCATTCTCCAGCTTCTCCAGGCTTATGCAAAACTCGGTGAGGAAATCCAGGCTGAGGCTGTTGACCGGAGGGCTCTTGAACTTCATCGTGGCGACACCTGTGCCATGGTTAACAGAGACAACAGAACGCTCGCATTGCAGCAGCATGCTCTGCCTTGCTCAAGGGAACTTCACCCACCTCCCTGTTTCCCTGTTCACCCACATCGTGTCTTTCCACTCCTGGCTCTTCAAGAAGCCCCCAGAGTGGAGGGGGGCCAAGAGCAGGGCACAGCCTTTGCCCAGATCTGCCCGCAAGCCGGGCTTACTCAGCCAGTGCTGAACCTGGAGCATGAACAAGCACATGTGCGGTGGCGTACCGTGTGTCCCAAAGACCAGCCACCCTTGGGGTCACACTGCCCGGCAGTTCCCTTCTCTCTAGGCTCAGTGGATAGGATTGAGCCTTCAGCTTCTATCACAGCAAACATCCCGTACCCAGGGGATCACACACTTTTCTGTGCCTGCCAGCAGCACTGTCCCCCTGGCCAGCGCCGCGGGAAGGGCTCTGAGCCCTCGACCCCTCCCAAACGGCACGACCCTACCCCAAAAGGTCTTCACCGAGTGAGCGCTTAGGCTGGGTGCTGCAGCCGTGCCCAGGCTGAGGAGAGTGTGAGGATGCACCCAAGGGCCTGGGAGCCGAAGGCAGGCCCTGGGAAAGCTCAAGAAGAGGCAATGTCTGTTCGGTGTGGGGACGTGGCCCCGTGACAGCTATTCCTGCCAGCCAGACCCCCCCGCCCCGCCCCCGCCGCCCCCCTGCCACTCTACCAGGTCCCCAAAGCAGGGACCCTGCAGAGGGGATGATGCATGAGCAGGGGACAGGGCATGAGGTCTGCCCATGGTGACAGCTAGGGTTTGCCTGTGGCACCCAAGCAGCACCCAGCCACCTGAAGTGCCTGTGACCAGTGAGACTCCCATCCCCAAACTCTTCCCTCTAAGGGTCCTAAGCAGCTACAGCTGGAACATCTGGGGCTTTGGCGGCTTTCCATGCCCAGGGACACACGTGCCACGGGGCAGGCACGGAAGG